TTTCAGGTGTGTACAAAAGGTGCTTCTGCACTACTGGGAAATAGTTAAAAGGTTTGTTCTCTTAAGTATTATAAACATTTGACATGATTTTGTTTACAATATTCATTAGCCTTCCACAATAAGATTTATCCAGTAATGATGAACAGTGTCTCTACAGTCCCATCCTGACTAATTAGGTTCCACTACACTCTAGGAATTTTATACAACTGATAGAGTAAAAGTTGTCATTCTTAATGATCATTCACAAACCTCTAACATCCCTTTTTCTAATGACCAAGTACCTGGTATCTTTATTAATGCAGTGGAGACACAATGTTTTTCACATTGAGTCTTCATTTTGTATTTAATTTGAGGGACCTCAAGTCTTGATTTATCCAAAATAGTCAACATTTATACCTATTTTACTGGCATGATTTTTGCCTAATTATTAAATAGCACTGTGTCACTCTCAAAAGTGTTCCAGCTTAGATGATGTGGCCACCCTATATTCATCAGAAGTGTAATTGTTTTTTCAATACTGGGGATCAAATCCAGGGATTGCAGCACTATATTCTCAGGCCTTTAAAAATTTTTATTATCTTTTAAGTCATGATCTCAGACTAGCTTGGAGCCTCCCAATTAGTTGAGAGCAAAGGTGTGTGCCAACAAGCTGAAATAAAAGTCTGTTTTCTTGTAAGGCTATGTCTGAAAGTCAAGAACCCAGTCTCAAAACTTAGTAATACTTTCAGTAGTGGCATGCCGATAAGGATAATAGTGGGGGAAAGTTTTCTAAAAATATTAAAGAATATTTGGCATAATGGTCTTTAAAACAACCAATAATTCAGTGCTTACCAAAAGCCAAGCATTGCTATGTAGGTACTTGACACAAGCTATCTTATCTTATTTACTGTAAAGTAGAAATTGCTGGGTATCCACATCTTACAAGTAAGAGAGCTGAAGCACTGAGAGATGAAGCAAATCACCCAAGGGCAATCTGCTACTTAGTGGTAGGGCTGGCATTTGAACTTATGCAACTTATGACTCTGGAGTACACATTCATTACAACTTACACTTTCCAAGGAAAAGATATTAGAAGATAATAAGGAGGAAAAAAGGACCAATGCATTGAAATATTAGTGGACAGATTTGTGAAATGAGTAAAGAAGTTAGTTAAAGGAATAGTGCCTTTTTATGTGTTTACTTACCCTATCAGCTTGCTTCTGCCAGTCAGTGAAGGCAGGAGAGAGCACCAAAAGAAGTGGCACAGTCCAGTCTCACCTCGTTGATACCAACATTACATTTAGCAATAATGTTTGCAGAAAATGAGTCAAGTAAGTTGCTCAGGGTCATCGCCAGAGCAAGCTTTGGAGTCAAGATTCAACCTACTTCCTCTGACCTCAAGTCTTCCACAACTGCAAATCCAGGGTCTTGGAAATTGGTTTCTTGCCAATTTAAAGACCATATGAGTATTAATTAAGCATGCTAAAAAAAACCTGTGAGCAAAGGTCCATTCTTTCTGGGAGATTTAAATTTGTGGCAGGAACACGTTGCCAATTCCAGAGTACTGTGCAACAATTTATCTTTCTCCAAAGTTGAATCATCTTGCCACATTGTATGCTACACTAAGATATTGTTTCCAATTTAGAAGTATACTCATGTATTTAAGTGTTTGCCTATCCTTTGCTAGATCTAAATGAACACATAAAACAATCCATTTTCATTTCATCTGATAAGAGTTCAGAATTTAGGATGTCAGTTGGTCAGGCCTACCCTATTTTCCACTGATGATGCCTGAAGGTGCATGCCAAGTCCCATTTTCCTCCTTGTTGGGCTGTAATGCTTTCACCTTTAAGTCAGTGCCATAAAGTTCCATAAGTTCTTTACCTTCTGTATGTAACGTGTACAGTTTTCTCTCATCCTAAAAAACATTTCTAGGCTCTGATGTCCCCTCATTCTGTTACATTAACTCCTTCCTTTCACAATCACATTTCATAAAAAAAGGAAAGTACACTTAATTGTGTTGGTTTCATTTCTTAACCTCTCATACTCAGATCTCCTCTCCTACCTCCTGTTTTCCCCTCCCTCATGGGCAGCAATGAGCTTCTAATAGGAAAAAGACTTTTTGATCCTTCTGCAATACATAACATTTTTATCATCTCTTCCTTTTGAAATTCCCTCCTCTCCTGACTTCTGGGAAACTGTATTACATTTGTTTCACCCAACTATCTGTATTTGCCTTTTGACTGTTTACTGGGATCATTTTTTCCCTTAAACTTCCATAAATAGAAATCTTCAAAAGTTATTTCTTGTACCTAAATGATTATCATTATGCTGTGGAATCAGCTTTAGTGACATGATCCTATTTCATTCCTTTTTTGGATACTGTGCTGGGTACAAACAAAATGGGTTGTAGGATAGAAAGTGTGAAAGTAAAGAATGGATTAATATTGCAAAAGTCCAAGTGAAAAATAATTGTATCCAGACTGGGTACTGGTTACACAGAAGGGTAGAAGTAGGTATACATGAGGCATGACTTGGAAGTAGAATTGATGGAAATCACTGACAGACTGGATTTTTGTGTGAACAAAAAAGAACAGAAATAACTCCCAGATTTCTGGTGTAGGCAACTTGATAGCTTTTGGTATATTTGTTGAGCTATGAAAGATGAGAAAGGGATGGGACAGATTTGGATAAGGAAGTAGGAGTTTTGTTTTGAAATTTTAAGTAATATATATAACTATTACACATCTAAGTGGAGAAATCCATGTTCTCTTGACTATCTTAGCCACTCTTTTGACTTCATCTGACTGTTTTTTATGTAAGAAAATGTTTATATCTCCCTGCAGTTACTTAATCCACTGGTTTATGAAACTCAACACTTTGTAAATCAGATTCCTGTGTCAGTTATGTCCTACACAATGAGTTCTTCCCCCTGGTAGACCTGAACTGGGTTTTTTCTTTTGAGGAGTACTCGAGATAGAATCAAAGGCCTCTCATCTGCTGACCATGTTTTTTATCACTGAGCTATACCCCAACCTTTACCTTGTTTTTTATATTGATACTACTAACCTTCCCTCTACCCAGATTTTAAGTTTCCATTGACTGTCTTTTCATCTTTCTCCCTTTCACTAATATCCAACTAGTAAGAAAGTCCTATTGAACCCATACTGTATATTATTTCTCCCTCTGTCTTCCCGCTGCTACCAGTCAGTTTAAATTCTCTTCACCCCTTATCTGGACAATTGTGGTATTCACTACCTCTAGTCTTTCAATGGCAAATATTTCCTACACACTACTGCTGTAGAATTTTTTTAGAGATTTCTAAGAAGGGGATATAACTCAGGTGTGAAATATTTGCCTGGGTTTGATTCCCAGCCACCCACCTAACAAACAAACACAAAAAACTGTGTAGTGTATGTACTACAGTATGCATTATTTCTTTGCCCTGCAATTCAAAGCCCAGGATGATCTGGACTCTTCAGTTAAACTCAACTAGAAATGTTTTCCTTTGTGCTTTTGCTTTTGTCACTCATTTTAGTCAGCATACCCTCCTCTGACTCCTATTTTCACAGAGCCAAGTCCTGTTTATCCTCTATTATTTTCTTAAATGCTGCTGAGTAAAATCCTTACCATTTATTGAATATCAGTTATTAAGTACTTAATGGTTATTTTTAAGTAAACTAAATACTTTACATTCATTATCTGCCTCTGCATTGCATTTGGTTTCCTGTGCATTTGCCTTGTTTACAAGAAGGTAAATTCCTGGAGAGCAAATATCAGGCTGCAATTCATCTTTTAATCCACAGATACACTGTATACTTCGCTGATGTTGGACAAACATTCATTACAGAGATTTGAACTACTTGCAATGGGAACATATGAAAGAAGCATAAGAACTTACATTCCAATTAGTGAATAAAATGAAAACACACACAGCATATTTCCAGTACACTAAATATTAAGGAGACACTAAATGGAGAGTTGAACAAAGTTAGATTGTAATACAAAGTCATCCTTGCATAATTAAGTTTATATAGTAAAACAAATGTTCAAAGCTTCAGTGTCAGGTGTACCTGTTTTGATTCTCGCTTCTTAAATGTGTGGCTTTGAATGGTTATATTCTCCTACCAAACTACATCTATAAAATGGGTACATTAAACCTCCTTCATACGACTATGTGCAAGGATAAAATGAGATAATACAGCCAATGCACGTATATCAATGCTCAATAAATGTTTAAAGAGTGAAGAGTAAACTAGGTTTTAAAGAATGTTAGTAGAACAGTTCAGATTTATGTGAGAATTGGGGATCTGAGCACTGGCCCGCTTGCGTCAGACCGTGGGGGAGGGGGATATCCAGGAACCTGTAAATGCTGTTGTAATTCTAAAACTGCCTCAGAGTAGTCCACCCGCAGTCACGCACCAAACCTACAGTATTTCCTTAATAACCTTCGTTCAGCTGAAGAAGAAAAACAAGGGAGGGAAGAAAAGCTGCAGTTTCGAAACACCACTGAAAACCTTGAATTTTTCCTATTACATGAACCTTTAAGGAGTACGTTTGACATTATTGCTTTATTGGAATCTATCAAGCAGTTTCCACAGTATCAGACAGTCTCTTGGGAAAACGCTATTAGATTTCCCGGAATAAATTATTGTTATTAAGTATTATATAGACAATGATCAAAAGCAATGCCCTATAGTTGGTCCACAGAATTTAATGTGCAAACTTTTCAAATCCTTTGTACCATTAAGTAGTTTCTCCCTTTCCCCAGAAAAACCCATCTTTAATCAGGTGATGTAGCTGAGTGATGGGTTCTAGATGGCCACATTTGTGCCTATATTTAAATATTCAAAATGGCTATATTTGCAGATTGAAACAATTTCTAAAAAGCTGAGTTGCATTTTTTTAGGTGCTGCAACTCAAATTCGCGGCAGTTTTTGTGATTAAACCTGGCTCTTCCGCCACTCAAAACCCCTATAAACTACATCTCCCAGCATGCTTTCAAGCTGATCTGACCTCATCTCAAATGGCCCCGTAGGGCAACAAGGATGGTTAGTTTTGATCGTACTTATTTGTGCCATAAAAAATCGATCCTAATTGGCAGTTATTTGGGCTTATATATCTGCCGAGAGCTCTTTTAAAAATGATGGTCCCTAAATGAAGATTCTGACCTGTGAAGAGCCATCCATTCCCTCATTTGGATGGAGAGCGGGGACAGTATCTCTGGCGATCTCAAAAATAAGAGGGAATGTTGACCAGGGAGCACAGCTGCTGTCGATCAGAGGAGCAGGAACTCGAGCTGGGGCTGAGTACGAAAAAAGCCGGATCCGGACCGTGGCTTCGGAGCGGTTCAAAGTGGAAGATGGAGGAGCCAGAGGACCCGGTATACGGTGGGCAGTCTCTGCCCCCAGTTTACATCTACAGTCCCGAGTATGTCAGCATGTGCGACTCCCTGGCCAAGGTCCCCAAACGGGTAAGAGTGTTGGGAATGAAAGACCACAGGCTTTGGGGGTAGGAGGCTGAGGTGTGGACTAGAGGGCATTAGGAAGAAGAGAGGAGACTGGGATGTGTAAAGTCCTCAGCAAAAATTTTGTTTCCGATACCTAAAACTGTGCCAAGAGGAAGTGTCCTCTTTAACCGTTTCAGAGAGCGCTGAGCGTCTCTGCCCGGCTCCAACGGACAGGTGGGGGAGGGGAGAGGGGATTCCGTTTCTACTACAAGGGAATCGCTGAAGTGGAAAAGAAACTGGTGAAGAAAAGTGTTCCATTCCCTGCATAAGGCCAGGGAGCTTCGGTCTCAGTGATTCTGATACTTTGTATCGTCTAAAGTGTATCCAACTGTATTGTATAAAGTGTATCGTAAGTTAAGTAACTGAAGAGAGGACAGTTAAAGCCGTTAGTTTCTTCTCGTAGGATGGTCAAGTTGATGGGATTGCACTGAATTAAAGTTGTAAGACTGTTTTCTGCCTTTTTTATGCTGAATTTTTAGGCCAGTATGGTACATTCTTTGATTGAAGCATATGCACTGCATAAGCAAATGAGGTAAGTTGTCTTTTCTGAACATCTGTCATCCCTGAAACTTAATGAATTTCACAGTAGGGCAAAATGGCGAGAAAATTGTGCTTTAAAAGAAAAAAAAAAAACTTTTTGTGAGGGTATTCACCGTGTTTGTAACCTGCCTATCATCCCAGGGATCTTGAAGAATTGAGAAAACTTGCCAAAATTGCATGAAATGATTAAGATCCTAGGACTTTATTGCTGCCTGATAGGTGCTTTACAGAGAGTTTGGATGAGTACATCTGGGAGGTGTGCTGTTTTTGTTTTGTATTTGCCCCCACTTCTCGGTCAAACCTAAGGTTGTGTGTTCAATCTAAGACAAAAACATGCTGCCATCACTACCAACATTTAATGGATAAACTTGGGGACAAGTCAAAAACCAAACAGACTGCTAAGACCAGGCTGAAACTCAAGAGAGGACAAGTCTTCTTTCGAAAAAATAATTTGAGATTGCAGTTTATTGCCAGTTTTGTATTTGATGTCTGTATAAGTGCAACTGTTACAAGCCTGCCATGTGTAAGATTACTTATGACATTTTCTGGCCAAATGGATGACTAGCAACATCAGCCATTGCAGTATGCTTCATTTACCTCCCAGAAGGTAGTGTAAGAGGCTTTCAGATTTAATTCTTATTAGTAACAAAATCATCTTATGTACTTTCTTTAGGAATATTTTTTCAACCATATGTTTGGTAAACATAATGATATGCCATTCATTAAAGTTATATTAACATTTCAAAAAGTATTTTATTGCAAACAAGATATCAAAGCAAATCAAAACTAATTTTCTTGATATTAAGCAGGGAGGTTTTGGTAAGTGTTTTGTAACTTTAACATTCATGAAATGGGATGATGCTGTAGGAGAAAAATATTAGTGCTGGAAAACATAGTCAAAGAAATTATGAAACTTTGTTTTGATGAGAAGTTTTTACCTCAATGGTTTTCCTAAAGAAACAAGAATCCCTAGATCTTGTCTGTATGTATAATTTTTGAGGCTTTACTACAGCCTTTCTCCTGCCACCTATATTATAGTAGCCTGTATAGTCATTTTAATCTGTGATAAATTAATGGTTATGCTCCCTTCCAGAAAATATAAACAACTACAACCGTTTCTCTGTGGTCTAAATCAGTGCTCCTTCAACTTAAATATGCATATGAGTCAACTTGTTAAATGTATCATCTTGTTTAAAAATCATCCTGTTGAAATACAAATTCTGACTCACTGGGTCTTGGGTGAAAAGACCCAGTGAAGTTCTATGTTTCAAACTAGCTCATATGGGTGCTGATTTTGCTGGTCTGTATACCAAGGGCTAGAAAATGTGGAAATAGTATACTCAGTAAGAGGAAGTGGGAAATAGATAGCTAGAGCTTAGAGGCAGTAAGTCTTGTTTCTAGGTTCTCTTTATTCTCTCATTCACTCCTATTTGTCACTTCCCATGACAATTAGGTTGAGAGGTTCTGAGGGAAGCCCAGTGTCAACTGTTTTGCACCTTTCTCTCACCTCTCAAAGGTAAATGTTCAAAAACCAAATATAATTTTTTTTTGTATTTTGGGTTCTCTATTATCTTTTAATATTGATGATAGTTATCTACAAAGAATTTTAAATATAGTATCACTTAATCTGCAGATATGTCTCAGAAATATCCCTGTTTCACAAATGAGGAAACTGAGGTAGAGAACAGTCAGTCAGCTTACGTGAGTTATAGAGCTAGTAAATACAGAGTTAGGACAGCAACTCAGTTCTCTGAATCCCAATTGAAAATGCATGATAATCCAGATGCCTATGAAGATAAAAAAGAAGGGGGTAGGGGAACAACTCAATTTTAGAGCTCGTACTTAGTGTTTAGCATGCAGGACTTGGGTTCTATCCTCAGTACCAAGACCAAAATCAAATAAAGATCTAGCCTAAAGTATTATAAAGCCCAATTAGCAAATGATTTAGATGAAAACATCTCTGCCTACTGGTTTATCATGAAAGTTGTAATTTACAGAGTAAAGTTTATTTGATTCCTCATTATTTGTTTAACTTAAATATAACTATTCCCTTATTTTTACCTACCTATAAATTCAGGTAAAAATTTTATTCTCTTTCCCCTTATTGATTGAGTCATTACCATAGCTGCAAGGAAGTGAAGACTGTGCAGTGCAATAGAGAAACAAAATGTATTTATTACTTCAGTGTCCTGGAATCAGAAGCTAGGAGTTATATTTTCTGCTCAAATTGTTGGCTTCTGTGTCCAGCTTCTAGCATACTCTGGCTCTGACTCACTCACCTCTCTTTGTTATTAGGATAGTGAAGCCAAAAGTGGCTTCCATGGAGGAGATGGCCACCTTCCATACTGATGCCTATCTGCAGCACCTTCAGATGGTGAGCCAAGAAGGTGATGATGATCATCCAGACTCCACAGAATATGGACTAGGTAAGGTCCTTATCAGTGAAGGGAGATCTACAGCCTCCATCTGTAGGTCACACTACTTTATTACTTGTATAGTGCTTTCTAATGCTTTTTAAATAATCTAAGGGGGGCTGTGGATCAGGTCCAGGTCCTTGTACATGCTAGGCAATGCTGTACCACCAGGTTGCATCCCCAAACCCTATTGTCTATTTTAATTTTTTGGTTTAACCACACAGAACTCACTAACCAAGTAAACCATATTGAACAAAACTGAATAATGGAATAGATAGAAGAGAAACTTTTCAGTCGCTGAGTCTGTAATGACAGCACTCAGATCTGGCCTGGTTATATGTATGCTGACTTAGCTGTACTGAAACCTTAGATCTTTAGTGCCTATTTGTATTATAGGTGAGAAAGTTAGCCAAAACTCAAACAGGTACAGTTTTTTAAAATTGTAAGTAGCCAAAGAGATAGTTGAGAAAAACCACATAACTTAGTACAAGGACAGTGGACTAAGGGTTTCAAGACACCTGAGTCAAAGGTTGAATGACACCTGGCAAGATACATCACCTCACCAGGCATGGTGGCACATGTCTGTAATCCTAGCACTCAGGAGGCTGAGACAGAAGAATCACTGCAAGTGTGCAACCAGCCTGAGCTACCTGACAAGACCCCAAGGGACAGATTACCTCTCAGACCTTGGTTTCACTATCTGTAGGATGTAATTAGCTCATCTTGTATGTTTATCCTTTCTAGCTCTAAAAACTTAAAATCTTCCCTCCTCAATATGGGAAATGTTTCTGTCTCAGTTGGATCTGATGTTAACACAGTAGCCTTTTTAGGATACGTTATAGTTACGCGTCAACCTATTCTTCTTTCTCCAGTTCATTTTTAACAGGCTGTTCCAACTTTTGCCCTCAGGCTATGACTGCCCAGCTACTGAAGGAATATTTGAGTATGCAGCAGCTGTAGGAGGGGCTACAATCACAGCTGCCCAGTGCCTGATCGATGGGATGTGCAAAGTAGCAATTAACTGGCCTGGAGGTTGGCATCATGCAAAGAAGTAAGGAAATGACCTTTCTGCTTTCTGACCTTTCCTTGAGTTAGTGTCTCAATTATGTGAACTCCTGTGCTTATCATGTTGATATTAAAGACAGATGTTTATCATTTTACAAAGCATTCTGAAAATATGTAAGTAAAATAGAAGACAACCTAATCTAGTAAAAAGCACATTATCAAAAGTCAGAATATTTGGCTGAGTTTTTCTGTAACTTGGCTAACTGATTTAGACACACTAACTTCCCTAGGCCTCAGTTTCTTCATCAGTAAAACAAGCAGGACAAATACTAGATAGCCTCTAAATTCCTTTTCAGTTTCTGGAAATTCCCCTGTCATCAAGGGAATTTTGCTCTAGAAACATTTTAGAAAGTAGAATAGAGGACAACATCAATTATGGATACATGTATGAGCTAAAGAGACTTAGCAGTAAGGAGAAACTTATCATGAATGCCTTGGGAGAAGTGCATTTTAAAGCTAACACTTGACAAAAGTGGCAAACAGATTTTCAAATAGGTGGAGAATTGATGAAAATAAGTTTAGAACAAAAGGCCAAATAATAAAGGAGGCTTATGTCACCATCTCCAAAGAAAATGGAAGTGCAGAATTAGATGTGTTTCTAAGGAGAAATGGCTTGTAAAATAGCTCTTTTAGGTGCTGATGGGGTTAAAGGAAATGTCCTTTTAAAATTTCATATTAAACTGTCAGATGGTGATGCTCTGACATGAACTGCTCTGACATGAACTTCTTCAGCATTTGACATCTTGTTGGCTGTATCAGTTGCACTTAATACAAATTGGGAGAGAAGATTTTTTTTAAGCTCTGAATTTGTTAATCTGATGAATGAAAGGAAATAGCCGTGGTAGTAACTGGCAGTGCACCATTTACAAATCAGTTGTGCAATCAATAATAACCTTTATACTCTTAGTCTTAAGTCAAAAGAAATCAGTGCTTGGTTTTCAGACTAACACAATTATAGTAAATGCAAGTTAAGATAATAATATGGTATTATTTTCATCAGATTGACAGCTATTATGCCAAAGGAAGTCCTAGGAAAAAAATTCACTGCTGGTATCTACTAATGAGTAGAGCAAAGAGAACTAATGTCTTAACAAGTTTTGTATGATCTTAAAAACAGCCCGCCATTGTTTTAGCTTTTGCTTTATTTTTAGAAGTTCAAAATAAACTGATTCCTATAAGAAAAATTGATACTCTCTCCTTCAAGTTTCATAGTCAAAGAGTTTTCCTGGGTTTAGAAAGTGGGGAAGAAATGTAGTGTGTTTTCATAACAAATACTTGTTCCTATGAGGCAGATCTAGTTTCTCAAGTAGTTCAATTCACTGCAGAAAGCCCATTAGGCCTGAATCAATTTCTAAAGGAGTATTTACTTACCAGTCTGTTCTTACTGCTGTTGTGCTGGCAAAGGATGCACACTATTTAAGCCAATCATAGATGTCTGGGCTATGCAGACATGGGTGTATCCTTGTATAATCTTACTGTTTTGAATACCCTTCAGCTGATCCTTTCAGCTGATCCTGCCTGGAAACAGACATGTTTATGGTAAATATAAATTATACAGTTTCTAGAGATTGTTCCAATTCAGGTCTGAATTCTAGAGTGCTTTGGGCATTTCTAAAACCTCTCTGTAGCTGAACTATAAGCCCATAAGCTTATACCTAGAGAGCAATTACTGCTTATATTCACAATATTTGCTTAAACCTTCCCATCCCCAAATATATGTGCAGATTTATACATTGGGCAAGCATTGATTAAACACATACTATATGTCAGGCATATGATCTTCACCACTAATAAAAAAGTATAGAAAATGAGGGTTATTTTTTCCCTCTACCAAGTTCAAAAAACACAATCTTTATTTCAAAATATCCAGGTTACAGTAAAACTATCCCAATCCTTTCTGAGAACATTGAAAATAAATGATAAGACTGGGGGAAATGTTCATAACTCCTGCCCCAGGAACACATTTCTTTGCAGTCTATTTTAAGGAAACAAATCAGACTTATCCTCAAATTATTATCTTATGGATAAGGCAGCAAATAAGTACATTTGAAAAACAAATAAGAATGGTGCTTCAAAGAAAATTATGAAGAAAAGTAATGGAATAATGCTATTAGATATTAAACATACAAAACTAGAATAATGAAAACACTGGTGGTAATGGTATAAGTTTCAACAGGTAACATATATAGGGCTTAATCTATTATAAAGATGCACTGTAAGTGAAAGAATAGAAAGGATGTTCATTAATACTGTGACAGCTTATAGAATTTATTCATCTTCAGTAATAAACTAAAATAAGTAGCAGTTGGATTGAAGAGTGATTGAAGAGTTAAATATTAAAAAGCAAATTTTAAAAATTAGACTAAATGACTAGTCACCTTTTAACAGGGAATAAATTTCTAAGCTTACAAAGTAATAGAAGATATTCTCAAAGGAAAAGATCAAATCTGACTATAAAATTTTAAAACCAGTATAACTTTTAAAAGTTTTTTGACTGCTTTTAAGATAGGAATATGCAATGTATTAACTGTTGTTACTCTCCTATTTTTTTGTTTTGAAATTTTGTTTTATTTTTAAAATTAAACTAAAATAAAATCTAAACATAGACTGAAAAATTCTATGTGACATAAACATGGCAAAGTGTGACAGGTTTATATTACTTAATGCACTCATGTAATATATAGAAAGAAATACAAAGAACATGATAAGACAATTTACAAAAAGAGTTTAGTATAACTAGAAAACAAATGGTCATCACTATTAATCAAAGAAAATGATCATCACTATTAATGAAAGCAAATGATCATCTCCACTAATCAAAGAAATATAAATTAAATCAATAGCTTCTGTTTTTCTTGTGCTGGGATCAAACCTATAGCCTTGTGCATGCTAAATAGGTAAGCTTCTTTTTAAGCCTGAATTTAACAAAATTGGGAAAAAATGGTACTCAGTTTGTTAGTGAGTGTGGTTTGTCTTAACCTCTTAAAACATCTTAGTACCTAACATGTATTAATGTCCTCTGATCTAATAATTCTATTTCTGGGAAGGTTTCCTAAGAATGTAAATCAAAACATGGTAAAAGCTATTGTCACTTGGTTACTCACATAATTTTGAAAATGAAAGAAGATGAATGTCTAGCAATAAGGGAATGGTGAATCTACTCCATAGGATATTATGTTATTAGTTTTCTTTTGGGATGTGTATGTGTGTGTGTATGCGTGTATTTGCATGAGTATGCATGTGTGTATTTGAGTGTTGAACCCACAGCTTCATACATACATCCTATTGTTCTATCCTCGTATCTTATATTATTTTTAATGATGATTATAAAGAATATAGGGCACGGATGGTGAACCTTTTAGAGCTTTTAATGATGTAACAGCCCATTGTGGCATATGTACCATAGGTTCACCACCACTGATATAGAGTATGTCAGAAAATGAGTGTGTTAACTTAAACAGATCTTAAAAATTGTGTATACATTGCAATTACCAGTTTCTGAAGAACACACATGAGAAAAAACAGTAGAAATGATAATAGTGACTGTCTTATGGTGGAAGAATTATTCATGATTGTTTAAAATATTTCTCTAGTTTTCAATATTAATGAGATTATATTATTATTTTATAGCTAAAATTTTAGTGAAATAAAGGCAAAAATGGTGTAACATATACAACAAAGATTAAAATGCTTATTCTACCTAGTTTAATGCTGATATTCCAATAAAAGATGTACATAGCCAATTCAAAAAGGAAACAAATAGTAAAAAAGCAAAAGAAATATTTAACATCAAAAATAATTAGGGAAATTGAAACACTATACATTTTTCCCTTCCTGCAAAATTTGAAATAACTCTTGGTTAGCTATTCTAAGGAAAGAACCAATAAATTTATACATAAAGATGATTCTTTCTTTCTTATAGTAGCCAAAAAAGGGAGACCTAAACATTCAACAATAGTGTAATGGTTAGATAATATACTGTATCATATCTACTTGATAAAATAGTATGTGACAAGCAGAAATGGTGGTTGGGCTAGAGGTGTAAATCAATGTGGTATACATACTCAGTATTGGTTTCGTTTCAAAGGGCAAGTAGCTATTCATTGTTTCAGTCCAATTACACACAGGCAAAAATATGTACATATGAAAAATCTTGGAAACTCAACAAAATAGTAACTGGGTTTATGAGGATGGGGATATGAATTTATTTATTTATTTATTTATTTTTTGGTACTGCGGATTGAACTCATGACCTCACACTTCCAAGGCAGGCACTTGTGCCACTGAGCTTTATCCCCAGCCCTGAAATATTTTTGAAAATTTCACATATACCTACATTTTTCTGTTCTCTATTTGTTCTCTGACATAGTTATATTTCATTTATAAGTAAAGTTTTTTATAGTACAAACTGCTTGGGATAATACTGGAAGCAGTAATAACATGGGGTAGTAAATACACACTAGTATCACATACAAGTAATGTGTACAGAAGGAAGTGTAAGAGTTTGCTTTCCCATTAGTGAGGATGGAGAATTCCAAGCAGAAGAAATGAAATTCTAACAGCAAGAAAGGATAGGACATTTAAAGAACCACAGGTAGTGAAATGTGGCCAAAGCGTGAGGGTAAATAGAGCAAGACTACCTTCGAAAGGTTTTGTAAACCATGCTAAAGAGTCGGTCTTTTTCCTGAAGAATGTTCACGAGGGCTGCAATGTGCTGGTCAGATTGGAAAGAAGTAAGACGAGGCAGAATAGGCTATTGCAATCAATCATTTAACAAACATTTATTAAGTTTCTGCTGTGTCAGGTCTAAGGAAACAACAAGATATACAGGCCATTTATATTGGTATAAGACAAAAAGCTACTTGGTAAATCCATTTGAAAGGGGGACCAAATTTTTAAGAGGTAATAGTAAAAGGTTCAGTTTTGGATTGAGACACTAGTTTAAACAATTAAAAGCTATTCAACTATATTTGTGTTTCATTTGTT